CCACAGTCCGCAGGACCGCCTCCCTCCTCCAACCCACCGTGCACCAGCGTGGATGCTGATTTGTGGACCGGAGCGCCTGAGTCTGTCATCCAGAGCTCGCAATACGTGGGTCCAGAGTCTGTGCTGGATACGGCCCTGTAAACCACTGCCCTGCCTTCTGGTGGCCCCTGCTCTCTGCTCTAAACCCACATAGGGCTTATCGTCCTTCAGAAGAGCCGAAGTCTTAGTGTAGCCAGGATCCTTTCTAGATAGAAATGGAGTCAAGTTTTTGATACTAAAAACCTGAAAGCAAGTAGTGTCAGAAATTCCAAATGGAGAGAAGCCACAGGAAGTAGTCTCCATATGCTACCTGGGTTTCCATCGTCCTCCGGAGACCCACGCATGCTCTGGCTACCATCCCACCTGGAGTTGTATTTAATTGTCCTCTTCTAAAGGCCCGCAAATCATTAAAACACTGACCTTCCCAGTTTTCTTGAGAACTTTTATTATCCCAGATATAGTACTTTACACATTAACTATGAAAACTTTTACAAGCCACTGAGGGTAATGAATCATGAATTCTAGAAGGGTAAACCCACCATGCTGAAACCAACTACAGCTGTCTTATATTTGCTCTGTGTGCATTTTGCTACCCGTAATTTTGTCATCAATTTTCATCTTTTGTTTAAACATATTTGTCTTTTGGACAAGATAGGTCATATTTCATAGGTTTGATGAATTTTCTCCTTGGTCCAGTTTTACAGAATTTGCACTTAATTAATTGCCCAACCTTTAATTCGACAGACTGTTTTTAATGGCCATGTAGTTTCAAAAGCATAATATACACAGTGGAACTTCGAAAAAGTAATTGTTTTTGTGTCACTTCCAAAGAAAGTCGCAATTATTAAAATGTGTAAATAATTTGTCAAATGCGCAATGGGCAATAATTAGGAAGATATCAAGTAAACCTTTAATGGATATTTTTAATTTGGTGTTCAGCAGGAATATTTAAATAATGCAGCAAAATATGTCATTTTTCTCCTCAGGACTATGGAAGCTGAATTCTGATGTGAAAATGTACCTTTCAGTTGCACGCACTGGGTCATAATGGAGGTGAAACTCCTGAAAGATTTTCTAGCTCTTAGCATAGCAGGAAACCAAGACACCCACCCCATCCAGGCAGACAGCACAGAATCTGAAAATCTGCCTATCAAAAGCATCATTCAAGCCACAAAGCTCTCGTGTGCCTGGTAAAAGACAGAGAGGAAGAGAGGAGACAAAGGTCAGTTGTTGTCAATTCTTTATAAATGAGGCAGCGCTGGCAGTTTGCAAGGAACTGCGTGTTTCCCTAGCAACTTTGTATGTGTGCACATTCACTCAGGACATTTTCTTCCTTGTTATTTTCAGACTGTCTTTTTGTACTGAGGACCCTTTTGAATGTATTCTCCCAGTTACATGGGTCTCTGTATTAAGAGGAGTAAGCGGCTGACATTTTTTAGAAGAGAGGTTAGCTGAGTTTAGGGGGGTAAAAATCCAGGGTTCAATCTTTAGTTCGATTATAGATTAAAATCAGGAGCGAGAGAAATCGAGTTAGAGAAAGCATAGTACAGCAAAAGAAAACCCAAAGTATCTGATTTCTAGAAAGTAAAATGACACGAGAACATTCATGACATGAAATTTGGCCCCCTCTTTTAGAGAATTTTGGGGGGGGTGAGACAGATCTTCCTAAGTCAGAAATGGAATTTGAACTCATGGTCCTCCTGCCTCAGCCTTCCCAGTGGCTGGGACTGCAGGTGTGCACTATCATGTCTGGAAAGTGCACATCTGTAACAGGATGTGTAACCCTGTAAAAGGATTCTGGGGTGCTGGAATCTCCTTCTAGAGGTTATTTCTAGGTCCTTTCTGTTCCAGAGAAAGAATAGAACAGAACAAGCATAAATGGTGGCAAAGTTTCACATTATTAGAGGTGAAAAGGGAAGAAGGTATAAAAAAATTAAAAATACATCCTACAGTGGTATAGGGTAGGCTGTCGTGAGGAGGCACAATAGCAAGCTCTTGTCTATTTTTGGTATTTCTCAGCTTACAGCATATCCAGGTCATCCCATCTATAACTTACTGGAGTTCTCATGAGACGTCCACATGCAGGGTTCGAAGAGCTGTTCTGCGTATGTGTTCCGGAACCTTGTGGTGCCTCCCTTTTCAGCCTGTTTTAGCCATACCCTTACTTCCAGATAACAACCCTTCACTCAGGAGGCTGAGACTGGAGAATTGAAAGTTTGAGCCCAGCCTTGGAAGTTTAGCAACTTAGTGAGAACCTATTTTAAAATAAAAAAGGATTTGGGGATGTGCCTCAGTGCACAGGTCCTGGGTTCGATCCCCGGTACCAGAAAAGAAGGAAGGAAGAGAAGAGGGCTGGAGAGAGGTTGAATAAAGCTTCCAAGCAGATCCCGCCCTGTCCTCGATGTCCCCCTTGGACTTTATGATGGTTCAGGCACATGGGGGTACGGTTTAATTTTGGGTAACTTGTCCTCATGTTTTGATTGGTAGCACAGAAGAGATGCCAGGAACTATCTCTTACCAAGTTCTGCCTGTTCTTCATTCACCCACAGCACTTACTGAGTACTCCCGAATTAACTCCAAATATGGACTGGGCATCCAGTGGGGCCAGCAATCTTTTTTTCTGTAAAGTGCACACTATAGTAAATGTGCTTGGCTTCTCCAACACAGTCCTTGCCTTTGTTACAGTCTCTGTCACTCAATTCTATCACTATACATTGCTGTGCAGAAGTAGCCACTGACCACACGTGAGTGGATGTGATGGTATTTCAATAAAGTATTCTCTAAGGACCCTGAACTTCAAGTTTCACATAATTTCCATACGTCACAAAATCTTGATTGTTTTCAGCCATTCTTAGGGCTTAGGCCACATGAAAAAAAGGAGCAGACATTTCCATATGGCCTGTGGCCATAGTTTGCTGACCCTGGGTACAGGGGCCAGGGTTTCCCTCTCCTGGGACTGACACCCCCAAGGGACACAGGCAGTAAAGATGTCAAAGATGAAGTTGGGTTACAAGAAGTGACACGGAGGAAATAAAATAAAATAACATGGTAGAGAATGACAGAGAGCTGGTGGCAGCTTTAGATGGAGCTGTCAGGAATAATCTGGTGAAACCCAAATGACAAAGGGACCCAGCCCACAGTGCACGTGGGCATCCCGGGCACATTGCTAATGCTGTAAGCCAGCTGCACTCACACGTTATTATTTATTGATTCCTCCATTTATTGGTTCCTCCATTCAAACTGCAACATGCCGTAAAACAGAGCAATCGATTCACCCAATCCCGTTATCAAAATGGTAGAAGATAAGCACATGCTCGTCAGAATCATCCTACCTATTGATATTTACAAATTTCTAGGTACTGTGTAGAACATCTAACCCCCAACCGCCAGGAGATGCAAGTTTTACACGTGCAACATGATTTTTTCAAAGCCATTTTTAATTTTTTTTTAATTTAAAAGAGTACCATGACCTGAGGTCATCTTTACCCTCCTTTCCATCCTCATGGAGTCTAAGTCATGGTAAATTATAAAATTACAACTTTGAATCGACGCAACCTCTTTTATTTACATCCTGTTGAACTACAACAACTGTATTTTCACAGCTGCTAAAATATTTAAGAGAAACAAAATTATCTTTGTGAAAGTTCTACCAGAGAAAAGAAAACCATAAAGGAACTTGCTGCTAATTTATCTTGTAGAGGACAGGTCAAGTGTAAAGAATGCCCCTGCTATCCTCAAAATGTGCAGGCTAATTCCAAACCAATGCCAAAGGATTTGAGAGTAACTTTTATCTCAAATGACTTTCTAGTTGGCCTTCCAACAGTTCTGAAGCAGGAAGCTGGCACCAGGGTTGCTAGTAGGTGGTGAATTGGAACTCAGGATTTCTATTTTGAAATAGTCTTTAGTAGCTGTCACAGTTCCTTTTTCAGTGCTGATACAAAATACCTGATACCCACAAGTTAAAGTGAGAGGGGCTTATTTTGGCTCACAGTCTGTAGAGCCAAAAAGTCTTGTAGTTCCAAGATAACAGAGCAAAGGGCCATGGCAGAGGAGAAACAGTTCATGGTGTGGTCAGCAGGAAGCAACAAGTTTCTTCTTTCACTTAAGCCTCTTGGTTGGTGCCACTCACACTCAGGTTGGGTTCTCCCTCTTCAGTAAATCAATCATCCTCACCCAAAACTATGCTAAACCAATCAGTAGACTCATCCAATATTGCACATGCATGATCCAGTCACTTCCAAAGGCCCCTCCCACGAGTGCATAAGGCTTTAAGAAGGACATCTAGATCTAAGCCTAACGGCAGCATTAGGGCTTATAGTGTTACTCCTTTGGTGTGTTGGTTGGTTTTAACTTACTATTAGCAGTCCTATTAAAAAGTTGTGCTGCCTCTTGTATATTATCAACCCTAAGTGTGAGTGTGCACAGCACCTACACAGTCTGGGAAAGCTCCAGGTTCTTTCAATAGTCCATGTCCATGAGCCCTTTTCAGGTCTCACTAAAAGATGTTTCTCCTTCTCAAAGTATGCCCAGTACTTTTGGTGGAAACTACAAGGGTTTTTTTGGTTTTTGTTTACGTCGTTGTTGTTGCTTTGGTTTTCCTTTTTTTGAGACAGGGTCTCACTATGTAGTTCTGGCTGGCCTTGAACTCACTATGTATCCCAGGCTGGCCTCAAACTCATGGTGATCCTCCTGCCTCAGCCTCTCAAGTGCCTCTACACCTGGCTGAAACTAAAGAGACCTGTGTCCTAGACTTGGCACCTCACCAGCTCTGTTTATCTTGGATAAGGAACTCCATTATCAACCTGTAAAATTTGCTTGTAAACCTGGCCCCAAGAACTACAGTCAGAATGACATAAAGGGACATATATGAAAAGTAGAGGACATTTGTGACATTAGAAAATGCTTGTGGATAGTGCCATTATTATCCTCCATTGTGATACAACCAACACCTGGATTTTCAGGCAGAATGAGACCAACTGAGTTTCTGCTACTTGATGTTTTCTGGCGCCAAGTTCTAATTCAGCTGTAAACTCCTTGAGGTAAGGAACTGTGCTCATCATTTCTTCTATACATCTCATGTAGTCTTGTGTTTCCAGGATGCCCCAGAGTAGACACCTTAACTGGAGAACTAGTCATTGCCAAAGACTTTGCCCACTGCTAAATGCTGTTCATGCCCTGAGACAGGGTCTCCCAAATGTAGCCTCAGAACTCAAGTCCAAGAGATGTCTTACAAAAACACGTCTTGTGACCAAACAATCATGGGGTGCACTATTTACCATACCCCTCATAGAAGCCATGAAGCCACAGAGTATGATAAATAGGCACAGAATTTCTGCTGAAAGGCAGACTCCTTCATTCACTCTGAGGTCTCACAAACCCATCGGAGGAGATGTTTCTTTCTAGTACTGACCATTTGCAACCCTGTCAAAAAAAAATCTGCCCCTTTGAAGTCATCCTGGGAAAATCCCAGAAAAGAGTTTTGCAAATTACAGGTCTAAAGCAGGGATAAACGAGCTATGGCACATGGACCAAATCTGGTCCAGTTCCTCTTTTTTGTGTCGTGCAAGCTAAGAACGTTCTGCATTTTTAAATGATTGATCAGGGGTTGTATTTTGTGATACAAGAAAAGGGTGTGGGGTTGAAATTTTAGCGTCTGTAAATAAATTTTTGGAATACGCCCATGCCCGTCAGTTTGTGTTTTATCTACAGCTGAATCAAATAGTTGAAACGAGGACTCAATACAGGAAAGAGTTACTATTTCTGTCTTTTTACAGAAAAAAAATTGAAAACCCTGACCTAGCATAGTATTTTTATAAATGAAATCGAAATAAAGTGTACTAAATGTGGGAATGGTGTCTGATGCTTCACGGAACTTATGTTTCCACAAAACACATGTATGTTCTTTGTGTGAGAATCTTGGGTCACGATGTAAAATATGCTTTTTACAGTGAATCACAGCCCCACAAAATTCATGAGCCTGGAAGCAGATTAGAACTTGCCTAGGATTTATAACTACAGCTCGAGGAAGACTACAAAAGACAACGAGCTGGTACGCACCCAGCGAATGAGAGACGGGGGTAAGTAGAAAGAGAACCGCTGAGTGAGTCCAGGCGCTCCGTGAGATAATGGAGCATCTCATCGAATGTTCTTTTCTGATGAGGAAGAGCTGGAAGGAGTCAAGAAATCAGTGTCTGTGACCTTCAACACATGTGCTCTTACACTGAGAAAGTTCATCAGCGACTACTTAGAATTGCTGTAAAATGTTTCTGTTTAGCCTCAAACTGGGGGCTCCATTCCTAAAATAATTTTCCATCCATCCATCCAGCATGAGGTCATCAAATCTACAAAGATTTGGAGCCAGGAGACAGAGGTGGGCTGAGTAAAGCTATTCCAATAATACTTTTATTGATCAATAAGAACTAAGTAATAAACACTAAGTGTTTATTGAGCATCTATCAGCAGGGGTAGTACTAAACCCACTCATTTCATTTAGTCCTGAAAACAATCCTATTATGTGAGGATAATTATCATCTGCATTTTCCTGTTTAAAATAGTGAGGCACAAAGAGGTCAAATAACTGTCCCGCTGTCACCCAGGAAATATAACAATGAGCTGAGAGCCAAACCTAGGCAGCCGAAACTCCATCCGTACCTGCCCTTTGGACCATGTTATTATACTTTCTCAGAGCTCATATGTATGTCTCATCCATTCACGTCTACTGAAAAAACTGAGCCCACAAAATGGCAAAGCCATAGAAAATAGGTTTTATTACGGAAATTGTCTAATGGTGATAGTGTCACAACCACCAAAATGATAAACAACACCCAGTCATGTGCATGCAATTTGATTCAGCTAGAAATGTAAACCTGTGCCAGTATTGAATTATCCCCAAATCTGAATGATAGAGACCTCATTCAAATCACTCCCTTTGCCTGGTACCCAGTCCAAAAGATTTTATTTTAAATAAACCTTACCTGTGGCTGCCCATGCCTTGTCCTGCCACAGACTGGCGTATGCAGCCTTACTAACGTGATTCATCAAAACAATCAAGGGGGAGTAGTCGTGATCTAATATACTAAGCACTCTTAAATTACGCATCCGCCCCTCCTGGTACAGCACGGGGAAGACAGGAACACGGTGACTAGTGCACCTCCCGCTGTCGCGTTCAGGAACTGGGGAGTGGGGCGGTTTCCTGAATCATGTTCTGGAAGCTGCACGCATCTGTTGAGGCGAGAGGTAGCCGAGCCAGCTTGCCCGAGATGAAGTCTGAGTAATTCAGAGGAGGCTGTGATTTTTTATAAAACATACACTAAGTAGTTTTGTTGACTCCTACATGACAGTTCCAAGGTGGCTGGGAAACCAGACCATTTGTTACACACCGTCGAGATCAATAGAGTGCGCAGAAGAGGAGCGATGTAAAAAATAAAAAAGTTTAATTGAACGGAGGCTGAATGATCCCTTACTTTACACATCTCTACCTTTATGTTTATGATTCAAGTTGGAGAAGGGGAAAATATCACAGCAATACGGCACAGCATCAGGAGTCCATTTCTCTTCTTAGATGCCATTTAAAGAAGAAAAGAAAATGTTTTTGTCTCATTAAACAAACAAAAATAAAATAAGGAAAGGGTCAGTTTCTTCTATCCCTTTTTTATTTTAATGGCTGTCGTCGGCGACATTCTGACAGAAGTCTGAAAAATTAACACATCCCTATAGCTACCATGTGAGATTTAAGTTTTGATAAACAACAAAGCGGGTTACTGCTGCGCTAGCTATTTTTAATCCACCTTGTGAGTGTGCTTTTTTTATTGCTTTATACAGCATATCTGATTCTCTCTAAAGCACCAACTAAAAAATCTATCCAGCTGTCATTTGCTGCCCAGCAACATCTATCATCACACAGCCTGGCAGGCCTAGTCTATGAGGCAGAGGGGAGAGGAGACAGGAGGCAGAGTCAAGGACTGTCACATGGGATGGGGGAAAAAAAACTTGTCACAATTATTTATGGCTCTTGCTGGGGCACATAATAGGACACATAAGCCTGTGTTTCAGTTTCAAGCACCTTCGCGACACTGTTCCCTTGTCGAAGCCGGGCGCAGCCAACTCTGCGTTACACACACAATTTCCTGAACAATGCCGAACACTTGTGAAATGACAGCGACAAATACAGGAGTTGGTGGCTGTGGCTCCCTGGGCTGTTACGAGCGAGCGTGCGAGTGTCAGTGATCGGGGGAGGGACCGCTCCCCGGTCCTCTTCTTCCTGGCACAAGGTTTCCTTCCTCCTGGATGCTTTCAAGTGCCAGGGACGCAGGTTTAAAGAATAGGAAATGGTGCGTTGCCAGGCCGTGTTTTACTATTTGAAGCCATATTTCTCCTGCCAGAGGAGGAATGGGCTTCTGCCTTCTTTTTGTCTCACTCTACCCATCCCTACACACACAGAGCAGGACGTTTGCAAGATTTCATCCGTAAGCATTCTCTGCTTCCATGTGTGCTAAATGTCTGTTTTTCTGAGTACTTAGTTCAGTTAGCTTCCTGCCTCTGCATGTCTTCGCAAAGCAAGCACTGGATTCGAAGATAATTTTGTCCAGTTCTCTAATCTCCATCCTGCTACGAGCCTCTTTGGTGTTAGAAGCCTTGTCAGGGTCTAACCCTTGGCCCTCTGAAAAAACTTAAAAGAAACTCCATCAACATTCTCTCTACCCAGCAGATCATGGAAAACAGAAGAGCTGAGCTTGCAATGCTTAAGATAATTAAACATAAAATGGGGGTCCGGTGCAATAAGTGACTCTTGCGTACTTTACAACTCTGGCATGGCCCAGCATTAACTTAAGTGTTCACACAGGGACCTCAGGCATCGTGGCATCACCTGCCCGGACTCTGCTGATGAGAAATTGCAAAGACCTTAATTAAAGATAATAGGAGCAGGATGTCCTATAACTATCTTGGGAATCTAAAATTCATATGAGGAACAGCACCCACAAGAAGAACAGCACCCAGGAACATCAGAATTATGGCAATGATGTTGAGAACTTGTCAAATAAAAATCAGCCACTTGAAAGAAGTAGCCCGGAAGGTTGTGATAGTGGAGAAAATGCTCTTCTCACTGGGTTAGTCCAATCTCTCATTCACAGCACACGAGAACCAAGCTTTTATGGTTTAATTACTATCAAAGGACACTGTGGCATTGGAGGAATCAGTGTGCATACACACTGTTGGCTTGAACTTGTGATGTTTTTCACTGAGAAGCTCCCCACCTTCCCGGAGATCCATAGTTTGCCCAGGGTCCACTTCCCTCATGTTGCAGCCTGTCAGCTCAAAAGTGAGTTTCATGGTCAGCCTGTGCCTGCCCAGGTCTTGTCTACAGGGTGATTATTTTTCACATGTTGGTGACTAGGATGAGTTACATGGAGACTCGGTGAGCTACGGTACACAGGAGGAACACTGTGTGAGCTACAAAAGAGTTGACTGGTAATGCTACACAAAGGGGAGGATGGCTTTACAAATGTCACCAGAGTACAGGCCGAAGCAGTGGAGTCAGGTGGAGATGGGCTCAAACTCTGAGCCTCTCTCACTCTCAGGGGGACCCAGCTTAATGTTTTTAAGTCAAAGTTTCTGCACCATTAAAATCAGGGTGATATTTGATTAGGTAACAGGATTATAGACATACACAACCTCTTACCACTATCCTTAGCATACATGTAGAAGTATCCAGTGAGTGCTAAATTCATTTTTTATCTTTGTGTATCTGGCATTCTGAAAAATGAAACATGAAGGGTGAAAGTATGATCAAGGCTCTTCTGTGGGGACCCTCCCAGACTGCTAGCATGACACGCATCATGGGGATAACAGCGCCTTGTATCTTGAAGAGCACTTGTAGCTCAGGAAGTGCTTCCTTATCCGTGATCTCATTCGGTCTTGCAATAACCTGGTGAAGAAAGAAACAGAAGCACAGATGCTTCTGTCTCCGGACAATAAGTGAGAACCTGTGAATCAAAACGTCGGTTCCTCCTAGAGGTTCTTAGAGTGCCGGAGACAAGTTTGGAGTATCCCATGTTTCTGCTGCATTGTTCTTTGGCAACAACATCTCCAGCTCTCCGAGGTACTGGTGCTACTGGGGTTTGCCCACCTTCAGAAGTTGTCTTATCTGTCTAGACCCAGGAGCAGCAGACGACGGCCCGAGGGCCAAAACCAGCCTCCTGCCTGTTGGAAATAAAGTTTTGTTGACAGCCGCATCCATGGTGTGTGTCCCACGTGACTACGTCTGCGTCAGCAGAAATGAGTGGTCATAAGAGAGACCCTATGGGCAGCAAAGCTGGAAATATTTACCACATGACCTTTTTCAGAAAAAGAAGTTGGCCAGTACTGATTTAGAGCTTTTGGACCAGAAGCCTAGCACGTGTGTTGACAAACCCAGGGGCCACTGGTGCAAACTGCAAAGGCAACAACTTGCCGAACAAGTCAGAGCCACGGGCAAGCTTTCTGGATAGTTTTAAATACTCCGCTATTTTAAAGGATCTTATAACGTTGTGATGATATTAAGGAATTAGTCTTAATTTTGTTACATTTTTAAAGTCTTAGTCCGTCAAGATATAGCATGGAATAACATATAGTGAAATTATGCAATGTCTGGGTTTTTCTTTAAAATTTACTAGAAAAAAAAGCAGAAAGGTAGAGGGGGCAGTGTTGAACAAAAGATGAAATAAAAGTGGCAAAATGTCATTTACTGTTGAAGCTGGGTGATGAGGTAAAAAGGAGATCATTATTCTTTTATTCTTATTTCACTACGTATTTATAGTTTCTAAAACAAAAAGTTATATTTAAATAGGTACTTCTTTCGTTCTTTTTCAAGAGTCTCATCTATTTGCAACAATGCATATTTGTACATTGCAGAAAAATATTTCTTATCCGCAAGTACAGCCCAAATCATCAACCTTGCAATCTGTGTTCTGAGAAAAGGGATGACTTTGTACGACTTTCTACAAAGAGCCAGGCTTGATCTGGGGTTTTCCCTCCTCCCCACCCCCAACCAGCTCTCTGCTCCTGAATTTGTACATTTTAACATGATATTAAATATTTAAAGAGTCATTTAGGGACTAAAGTTCAGAGTGGTTTAATGTCTTATAACTACAAAATAATGTTGCTCTGGCTGATCTTTCTCATCAAAAGAGACAAAAGTACTCTGGCACATGTTTAAGGGTTAAACCTGTCCAACTCTGAAGACTCCAGTTAGAGAGCATTAGCCCTGTGAGTTCCTCAAGGAGAACTAAATTAAAGATGGAGTTGCAGGGGACTACTTATAAATATTATGTTCTGAACTTTATATTATTTTAATTTTGTTGATTCCTTTTATCTCCTGACTGAAATTGTCCCTGCTCTACGTCAGTGTGAAAAATTCTGCATTAATAATCTAGGGCAACTGAGTAAGGTTACAATTTTTAAGCCATCTTTTTCATCTTGTCACTGTCTTCACCATTCCCACCCTCTTCGTCGTTATTATCAGTCTTTGTTCTCTCCATCACATGACCTCCTCCACCAAGTTTTCCAGTCACATACAGTTTCATGAGGGAGACCACTGGAATTGTATCGTGTATAAATTCAACAGTGTGAACTGGGCCAAAAAAAAACCATTAAAAAGAGCAAGTGAGATAAAAATAATCTAATAGCATATCTGATATACTATAAAATTATATTTTGCCTATATGCTCTTTATTTTAGAGTGCTCATTATCATGCATTTATAAACACCTATGCTGTATAACTGTATGCATAAAACCACAATTGCTCTATTTTATAGTAATAGAAGGGTTCTCCAAAGGCAATATTAACTATATCTAATTTGCACCTTGAGTTAATTTAAAATAGGAACTGGGTAAGCTGTAACTCCATTATTTTATTACAACTCTGGTGTAGATGGGAAAGTGGGATTTAAAGGGCTGAATAGCCCATAACAAGATTTAGAAACATGAATGAACAAGTTATGGGGTGATGTCAAGCCTGTTTGAAAACAAACTTTCCCCGCTAACCACACTTCCTTGCTCTTCAAGAACAGGTCATGCTGATAAAGTACCCGTCACAGGGAGAGGAAGAGACAGACAGAGACAGGAAGAAATAAAATGGAACTTCACTCCTTAGCTGTTTTTGTTTTCCTCAACTAGCAAACAACAGGACCGGTATGAAGATAAGGAGACAATCAGCTAAGCTAAAATGGGAAGAGCAGCAACTCATGAGCTCACATCTCAACTTGCTTTTCTACACTCTTGGTAGAGAGGCTTGCAGAGATTCCACAGCCCTCACAAAGGGGCTTTCTGAACTTCTGAGCAGAGTCGATTACACAACAGCTGTATGGCCCTCCTAAACCTTCCCCAGTGTCTGCCTCGAAGCTGTCTCCTCCTTGCCCTGTACCTGGGTTGTCATTCCGTTGTCTTCTTTAAGGGTCAGAACAGAAAATTTATCACAGGAGCCGGGTGAAAAAATGGAGACAGTAAGACCCCATCAATACCATACAAGACTCTACTTAAAGTTTTAATTAAAAGAATTAAACATGCTGCCTTCTGTTTAGATACAGTGTTCTTGAGGTCTGTCACACCCCTGGTGGTGTAAACCCAGAGGAAGTGATCACTGAGTCGGTTATTTCCAGAACGGGGGCAAATGGGAGAGGGAGGTGCACTCTGAAAGAGAATGAGCTGCAGATTTGGCATCAGATAAGCTGAGGTCCTCGACTAGAGCTTAGATAGAATCTTCCCAGGTAGTCTTCTCCGGGCTTTGGTGCTTTTGACAATGGTTCAAGATTGCTCCTTCTCCAAGTCCCAGTGAAGCCTTCAGATCCCAGGTGCCCACCTTGAAATTGTGTACCAAATACAAGGATATGTTGCAGCTATTGGTTGTCTTTTGCACTAATATCAACTCCTTTGTTATGGGGGTGAGGGCTCAAATAAAACAAGAAAGAGCAATGTAGGGAGAACAATAAGTTTTCCTCTGGGAAATTAAAAGACAGAGAAATCTCTGAAATTCCTCCTTCTCTTTGACCTTCCTTGGAAAGGAGGTTAAATTCTAAAGGAAACAAAAAACTTATGCTTTTATTCATTGAGCCTATGTAGAGCAGTCTGAGGCTCTGGTCATATACTGAAATAGCTTCTAGAATGCTTTCTACTTTTTTAATTCATGTATAAATATGCTCAAAATCAAAGACAGGGTGTGAAATTGGTCACTCTTTCAGAAGAGGAGAATATTCCAACAATATTCCTAGTAAATGTGAACACAGCCAGGAATGTGAAGGGAAAGACAGAAATCTACTGAATCTACTGTTTATTTGTGGGAAGGAGAAGAGGCACTTTATGTTTCTCTTGGTTTGAGCAGTCCTACATTCCATTAATCAAAGGTACATATCTGTGGCTGACACAATGAAACAGCATTTGGTTACAATGCTGAAGGTTAACCTGGTTGTACTGGACTTATTGAGAATTGATGAAGGCCCAAAATCTATGGGCGATCTGAGCAATTTTCTGGTTTCATACTAGTTCAAAAGGGAAGCAACTTCCACCTTCCAGGTTAACTTTAACATCACATATCTAAGAGGCAATTTAGCTGTAAGAGATGTTTAGCTCTATAGCGAAAAATTCCTTATCATATAGGATTCAGAGCTAAGTGGATAAAAAATGACTTAACAGATAATCTGTCTATAATTTTGTTGAGAACTATGAAGGAAAGAAAAAAGGGTTGTACATATATTTCCTAACTTTGTCCACTGAGAGGATCAAGAAGGAAAGATGCCTGGCAGTAGCATTGAGTACCTTTAGTGGCCAGATTTTGGCTTCTAAATACCATTCTCCCATAAGAAGAGCCAGAAATTCTTGGAGATATGGCTGTTTGTGGAGCTGGGGAAATCAAGCAAAAGATGAGCACACAATGGTGCTCAGTACCACAGATGGGGCATAAAAAAGGACACAACAGCCACCTTTAAGGGATTCCCATGCACCCAATCTGGGGCAATATGAGCATAGTAAATAATAATGTTAAAAGATTAAAACCTATTGAATAAAATAGAAAACCGTGAGTCCTTAATGATAGAAATAACTGCACGTGTATTGGATTATTTTAGATGTCACACATAAGGGAGATCATACAGTATTTTCTTTGTACATGGCTTAGTTCACTTAGCATGACAGCTGCAGGTTCACCCACGTTGTTGCAAACAGTGAAGTCATTTTAAGGCTGAATAAAATTCCACCACAAATATAGACTACAGCTTCTTTGCTTCTTTACCCGTTCGTCTGTCAACTGACACATCAGTTGTTTCTGTGTCTTGACTGCTGTGACTATTGCCACAGTGAACCAGGAGTACAGGTATCTTTATAAGGTGGAAATTTCACTTCCTTTGAGTGTACACCCTGAAGAGGGATTTTTCAGACACATAATAGATCTTTATTTAATTTGTTTTGGAACCTCCACACTGTTTTCCATCATGGCTGCACCCCCCACATTTTCACCAAGTGCAAGGGTTCCTTTTATCTTCATACAGTTAGCACTTATTTATTTCCTTCTGGATAAAAACTATTCTGTCAGATATGAGAGGACATCTAATTGTGGTTTTGATTTGCATTTCCCTAATCACTAGTCATATTGAACACTTTTTAAAAATAACTCTTGACTATTTTGGTGTCTTTCTTGAAGAAACATCTTTTCAGGACCCTTGTTCCATTTTTTTAAGGGTTTTGTTTGTTTGCTTGGGGGGTTTTCTTGCCTTTGAGTTGAGTTCCTCATATTTTTCAAATGTTAATCCCTCATCGGATATGTGCTCAAAATATTTTCTATCAAACTTTAGGTGGCCTTACTTTTTCAAGAGTTAAATACATAAAACAGAGCAAAACAATTTTTATCAGGTGTGGGGGATGAGAAGGTGAAGATCAAAAGGTACAAAGCTGTAGTTATTTGGGATGAGTAAGATATAATGTACCACTTGAGGACCCTAGTTAACTGTATTTTATAGTATAGTAATAATTTTCCAGGACAGATTGCCATATCAAAAAAAAGAAACAATGTAAGTATATGTATATGCAGCTAAGTATATGACAATATCAGTATACTTTAAAGCATAAAAAATAAAACAAATGCATAGGTTGAAATTTTGAAGAAGAATGGAATTATGGTAGGCAAACAATGCTCTTCTAGAAAGATCTCCATGTCCGACACCTAGAATCTGTGCATACGTGATGCAGTCATCGACTCTGTCCTCCTGACAATAGCTGCTTGTCACTGAGCCCTGGGGGTAGCTGCTCCCTCTGTCTGGAATGTTTCCCTACCTCTTTACATAGTTGGCTCTTTCTCATCCGTCAGGTTTTCAGGTGGAGCACCAACCTTTAAAAGATAATGCCCACAGAAAACCAATCACATTCATTTTCTCAAGGTAAATGAAGAATAGAGACTCAGTAGCCCTGTGTTTATGGTCCAACGGTCGCCTGAAAAAAGGCCCATCTTCCACAATACACCTACCTAGCACGCCCTACCTGGAGGTGGTTCTTAGACGTCACACCCGCAACTGCACATCATGCCTGCCTCATCAGAAGATGTAACAATAGATGATGTAGTCAACCAAACAAAGGGCTCTTTTTTATTCCCAAAAATTATACCTTGTGTTTTTTTTTTTTTCATTTTATAATTTGCCACTCAATTATATTGGAGGAAGGAAGGAAGAGGGAAGGAGAGAGAGAGAAGTTTGGGTTATAAACTGTGCAGTTCTCATTAATAACTTGATTAGTTATACATATTGTTCTCCTTTGATCTATGCAAGTAAAATCTTTTGCTCTTAAGTACGAATTCTTTGTGCTATTTTAAGTTCATAAAAATAAAAATAAAAATAAAAATTTTTAAAGCAAGCTCTTCCACTGGGATACCTTTAGCAGCAACTCCAATAACTTTCCAAAGTCCAACAGCGGACAGATGGTCGACCCCAGCAGAGGCTGCAGAGGGCCCCCTCCGTGACCACCGCACAAGTCCGGCGGCTGGCTGCTGGTCAACGCAAGCATAGCCGATCACCATCTTCACACAAAACCTTGTACAGGAGTCCAACAAATAAAGCAGGCTCCCTGGAGCTGTTTCGGTGGAGTCTGGGGTGAGAGGCTTCACCTACTCAGCAGCCCCTGTCACCCTGCATTCCTGCAGTGCCTTGAGCTGCCGCTTGCATTCTTTGGGAAGAGTCTGGAAGACACTACAATACTGAAATTCGGAACTTTATTTCAAAATACGAAAGAGCTTTTAAAAATTCCTGTGTCAGCAGTTTCGCATTACGCTTCCATTTTATTCCAAATGGTTATGGTTTGATTACGAGTCCACTCAATTGGGTGGCTCTGCTATGCTTTTGTATAATTAGCTAACAGAAGGACTGAACACCAGTGATGTTCCTTTTAGCTATCAGTTTTGGGTAATCGTTCTAGGCAGCGCCCTAGAACTACTGAAATACTGACTTTTTAAAAACCTTTATGCAAATTGCATGTATAATAATCCATGATATACGTTAGCATTAGTTGTTCTTCAATTTGAGGAAATGCTGATTTAAAACATACTTTAACAAATTATTCAGTCAAGCATAATAAGGACAAAATTCTTTTTCCCATAAAATTGTCGGAGACATTTGGACACAGACAGCAATATTTGAGTGAAATTTTCTGGGGGAAAAAAAAAACTCTAGCTCACAGTACTTTTTTCCTTCCCAAAATATACCATCATGAAGTATAAATGCCCAAGCACAGCGCCATCCATTAAAAAGAATCTATCTAATGCAATCTTTAACAAACTTTTGTGGAGCTACAATTATTTCCTCGAAGCCCACAGCATGAATTTTTTAAAACGAATCTGATGCCATTAAACAGTGATGGATTGACAGCCTTGGAGACTGGAGTCTTCCATTCAACCGCAACCCGGGTGCGGCACAGACAGAGGCAATGTGAATCTCCTCGACGTCCCGCCCCTGCCCCTCACAGAGGAGTCACTTCCAGGGAAGAATGGGCATTGTGGTCTGCACAGGTGGTTGATCTGTGGCCCTCTCATAGGCTGGCATCATCAGGATGCAACATTTTCGTGCGTGTGTGTGTGTGTGGTCTTTGTTTTTTGAGACAGGGTCTCACTATGTAGTCTGGGCTGGTCTTGAACTTGCGGTGAATCTCCTGCCTTAGTCACCCAAGTGCTGGGAGTACAGGTGTGTGTCACCACGCCAGACTGCGACTTCTCATCCATGTGAAGGAACAGCCTGCCTTTCTCACTTTCAGGATTCAGGATGTTTTTCTAACACTAATACTCTTCTTGCTGCCCATGCCAGATCAAAACCAAGTGCTCAGAGATCCAGGCCCCTTCAGTGGGCTCTCAAGAAAGACCGAAAACCAACAC